GGTGGAGACGGGCTGGCGCCAGAGCGCGCGGTGCGCGCTCGCCTGTGTGCGCATGGAGAGGGGCCACGTGTGTGCGTGCCTCTGTGTGTGCACGAGAAGGCCAAATGTATGTATACCTGTGCATGTGCACACAGAGGGGACACATGTGAGTGTGCCTGTGTGTGCGCAAGGATGGGCCAACTTGTGTGTATGCATGTGAGTGGGCACGGAGAAGGGGCCATGTATGTGTGTACTCCTCTGAGCTTGCATGGAGCAGAGCCAGTTGTATTCACACCTGTGAGTGCACAAGGAGTAGAGGAGCCACGTATGAGCATGCCTGAAGCCTACTTGGAGAAGGGCTGCATGTGTGCATACCTGTAAGTACATGTAAGAGAAGAAGAACTGTGTCGCCCAGAGAGACGGGCCAAGTGTGTGCACTAAAGGGCCAACGGTATGCACCCAGATATGCATGCCTGTGCCCAAGAAGGGGCTGACGTTATGCACGCCTTTGCGTGTGTATCCACACACGCATGGACAAGAAGAGCCAGGCGTGGGTGTGCTCTGGAGTACTTTCCTGTGAACCCAGAGGAAAGGAGACAGTGGGCGTAGGTTTGCACAGAGGAGGGCAGGTGGGGCCTGTGAGTAAAGGCGTGCACCGGACACCAGGGAAAGACAGACTGCTGCCCCTAGTCAGCCGGTGGCCTCAGCGCCCTTGAGACATGCACCCAGATTCCTGGAGAGTCCACACCTTCTGAGCACCTGTGCAAAGAAACTAGAAGGGGGTCACCAGGAAAACTAGGCAGCCTGGCTGCTCCTCAAGGGCAGAAGCAGTTTTGTCACAGGATGGACCTGGTGCAGCCTGGCCCTGGAGGCTTAGTCCAGCCTGAATCCCACCACCCAGCCAGGTAGAGGACAGTCTGGGCCTCCAGAGCCGGTGCAAAGCTCAAGGCTGAACCAAGGGAGGGAGCCATTAACCTCTGCCAAGGACTTTAAGGAGCCTTCGGAGGCCTCCCTCTCCACCTGGAACATATTATTACAGGACACCCCACTTGAGAGGATTTCACAATTTAACCACTTGTACGCAGACTACACCCACTGCTGCCTCTTGGGTGAAGCTCCGCCCCTGCTTAGGTGGCCAACAGTTTAATTAACCTTGCCTCCTTTGAAGACAGCAGATACTTTCCAGTATCTGCTGATTGGCACATTCTAGGTACTCAGAAACCGCTGGTGGGGAGGTAGGGTGAGCCAGAGGCTCCTGGGGGAAACCTGCAGATTTCTGGCCTAGCTTTCTGCCATGGAATCTGTGCATGCCGCCAGGGAGTCAGCTTTACTTCCAAAACTACACTCCTCTGCACTTCTTTCCAAAAGGCTGTAGGTTCCTAGCTCTGCTCCTGCAAATTCAGGTTCCCCTCCCCACCTGATCACCACCGGCTAGAAGAGACACAAGAAGCAGCCATTGTTCTGGGCCATCTGCCTACCTAAACTTCTTAGAAAACAGATACTGGGAGACACTGAGTCATTTCTTCAAACCGATGGAGAGAGGTTGTGTTCCCGAGGTGGTAGGCAGGGTGGATAGGAGAGACCTCACGGGGAGGCCTGGTGCAGCACCTGAAGCTAACTCTGGCCATTCTTGAAAGACACCTGCAGAGCTCAGAAGGTCAGCTCCAACCCAGGGCCGCCCGGGTGCTGGGACAGCCGGAGCTGGCTGGACTGGAGTGACGTGTCTTGGAGGTAAAATCGTGCACCGGAGGCTTCGAATGGCTAAGTGTCCTCCAGTTCTCTAGTCCCTGCCCACCACCCCAGGGAGCAGGAAAGTGCAAGATGCATTCTGGGCTTCCACGATGGGAGGTGATCCTGCCTCCTCACAGTATCTAACCATGGTGGATTTCCTAGATTCAAGGAGGCCTCCGATGTGTGATGATCAGAGAGCAGCTGAACTCACCTTGCTGGGAGATGGGGAGGCTTCACGAGGCATCTTGAAAGCTGGATGGGCTGGAGTCAGAAACAGACACCGGGACGGGAAAAGGAAGGCACCAGCCTGGGCACAGGGGGACGGGTAGCTTTGGGAAAGTGCTCCTGATGGATGAGTTTCGGGTTTGGATGGGCTGACCTGCTCCTGGGATGCTGCAGTAAGACTCTAAGTAGGACTTACTTTTGAATGTGCTACTATCACAAGAGGGGCAGCCAACACTTCCCGGGGCCTGTGCACTGGAGAGCAGTGCCTTAGGCTGGCAGTGTGCAGCGTCTAATGTGCAGGACACTTGGGCCCCGAGTGTCTTGCTGGTTCCTGCATCCTTACTGGCCTCTGGCTGCTCTACCCAGGGTCAAAAGAAGACACGGGCATCTCCTACAGTTATTGAGGAGGGACTCTCTCTCCAAGGCTGCCGCTGCTTGCTCTGCATGTTTAGAAGCTCTGGTGCTTGGTGCACATGTATTTGCCATTGCTGTGTCTTCTTGGTGAGTTGGCCCTTTTGCATGATGTCCCTGTCTCTTGTGACAGTCTTGGACAGAGTCTGTTATTTTCATCCTGGCGGAGCTGCCTTGCTGGCTTTTGTTGACTGTTTGTCTTGATGTATTTCCCACCCCTTCACTTTCAGCCTCTGTGTGTTCTTAGAGCTAAAGTGGGTCTTTTGTAGACAGCGTAGATTCAGATCCTGTATTCATTCTTTCATTCATTCATTCATTCAATTGGAGGTTGAATTCAGGGGGACTTTACCACTGAGCACATCCCCAGCCCTTTTTATCTTTTGTGATGGAGTCTCACTAAATTGCTAAGGCTGGCCTCAAACCTGCCATCCTCCTGCCTCAGCCTCCCAAGCCATTAGGATTGCAGGCATGTGCCACCAGGCCCAGTGTGAATCCTGTTTTTTGTTTTGTTTTGTTTTTATCATTCTGTCAATCTGTGCCTTTTGGTTGAGTTTTATCCATATACATCTTTTACACATTTTTTGCCCATAATATTATATGTATCCTCTTTTCAATAACATAGGAAATAAAAAGAGGAGTTACAAACCAAAAATACAACAATTTTGGCCTTTCCACTTGCCCACAAATTTACCACATTGGTGCTGTGGAGACAGTCACCTGTTTTGTGGATCTGGGGGGGGCGGTCCTTCCATGTCAGCCCTCTGGTGTTCCTTATGGGGCAGGTCTGGAGGTGACACACACCCTCAGCTTGTGTTCACCTGGAGAATGTCTTAGTCTCTCCTTCATGTTCTCAGGGCATTTGGGGTAGACACAGAATTTTCTTATTTTCTCAGTAAAATGTGCTAAACCACTGTTTTCTGGTCCCCTCTGGTCTCTGATGGGAAATTAACTATTCCTCTCACAAGGGTTGCTTGTGAGTGACAAATCACTTCTCTCCTGATGCCTGCAAGTTCCTTCTGTTTTGCCTGTTCGGTTTCATTCTGTGTCTTGAGCAGATATGTTCTGAGTGTGCGTTATTTGGGATTCATTGAGCCTCTTGTATTTGTAGATTTGTGTCTTTCAACAAATAGTGACGACTTGAGATTTATTCCAGGAATGCAGAGGTCCTGCACCTTCACATGTACATACACACACAAGTGTCTACGTTGATAATTCATGCCAATGCTCATTACAGCATTATTCATAGTAATGAGCATCCATCCACGATGAAGGGATAAATAAAATGTGATATATACACACAGTCATGTAAAGGAATGAAATTCTGACACAGCCTGCACATGGATGAACCTTGAAAATATCACACTAAGTGAAATAGGCCAGATTTCCAGGATATGAGGATAGATATTGTGTGGTTCCGCTTGTATGTAACATCCAGAATAGGAGTGGCATAAACCGTTTCCTGGGGCTGTTTGTTATGGGAGATGAGTGGTTACTTGATGACTGAAGTTTCTACTTGTAGTGACAGAAACATTTTGAAAAAAGTTAATGAAGGATGGAGCTGGGGTTGAGCTCAGTGGTGGAGCACTTACCCAGCACGTGTGAGGCCCTGGGTTCCATCCACAACACCACCTAAAAATAAAGGAAGAAAATAAAGGTATCGTGTCCATCTGCAACTAAAAATATATTTTTAAAAAAGAGTTATGACTGCACAATGCTGTAAACGTAATTAACACCACTGAACTGTACACTTAAAATGGCTAAAATATATAAAACCACATCACACTTTAAACAAGTGAAATATGTAATATATGAATTATATCTCAGTGAAACCCATTATTTAAAAAGCTACACAAGAGGGCTGGGGATGTGGCTCAAGTGGTAGCACGCTCTCCTAGTATGCGTGAGTCCCTGGGTTAATTCTCAGCACCATGTAAAAATAAAACAAAGATATTGTGTCCACCTAAAACTAAA